CACTTTCTTTCCATCCTCCCTGGCAAATAACCTTCAGTGAAGAAAAGAAAAGTATACATTTTGGTCCCTATGAAGAAATAAACTGTACAACTGAGAAAACATGAAGAACATAGACTACAGTGAAACAAAACCAGATAAAACATTAATAAAGAGAAACCAATAACCTTTTCCTGTGTCCCAACAGGTCGTACAGATGACCGCAATAGATTTCAAAAAAGCTGACATAAACCAGCAGTGATGCGCATGTCGAGGACAGATAAGTGAAAATGTCCTGAACTGCCAGAGCATATAACCCATTTCCTCCAGGGGATGAACCCAGCATGGTGTGAGTCTTTCCAGCACCCGTCTGTCCATAGGCAAAGCAGGTGGCCTTGCCTCTGTGGATAGATACAACAAAAATACACACTGACAGTTCAATAAAGTGATACCTTGCAGAGCCGGAGATAAAACACTTCATGCTGTTAAGAGAAAAGATGAAAACATGGACAGTTCACCAGGCATAGGCCAGGAGAAGATTCTCTTTATATCGCTATCCTAGGGAGAAGAATGCACACAATTTTTTTTTATTTTTTTTTTACAAGAAGTATTTCTAAAGGGATAAAATAATTTTCCATGTGTAGGAGGATTCTTTCTGCCAGATTACTGGCAGTGCACAGCAAAATGTAAATGTAGTTAAAGGGGGCGGGACTGCATTATTCAATATTATGTTACTCCAACCTTAAAGCACAGAAATGCAATGATGGAACATTTCAGCAACTTGAAACTTTGGCATAGACTAAGCATTGTGATTCAGCAGTATACACATACCCACTAAGCATGTGCTGAACCAAAGGGTATGCCGTTTTCTGATAAACCTCTTCATTGGAGCTCCCCTCCCCAAAAACCTGGTCAAAATGGAACCTATGCTGCAGAAACACAAAGAATTAGACTATAAGCAAATGAAGAACAACAACATGTTTCCATGATAACAATATAATGGAATCATTTTTTTTTCTGCTCTGCATGTCTACCTGTAGTATATACTCTCTGAGATCGACAGCTTCTTTGCTTTCGTGCACAACCACACATTCTGCACTTGGAGTGGTCACAACATCTGCTTCTCCTCTTCTGCACTCTGCGTTAGTCAAAGGTCGTTTCCTCACACACACACTGATCCGTCGTCCTTCCACATGTCTGCAACAAAACAAATACATCGCAGTGTTAGTTGTTACTATAGCAAACTTATCAAAGTTTTTATAACCCACAAAAAGCTGCGTCTTTTAAAGGGATTTTGAATAAATGGATCAACACAAATTTGTCCAAATTAAAATAAAAAAAATGTGAAGTGTTTTAAGACCCCTTCATTCTAATAACCCTAAGAAAATCATATAACAACAACATTTTGCTGTCATTATCTAGAAACCTAGAAATAAAAGAACTGAAGAGCAGTTTACTTAGCAGCTGGATGAGAACTCAGAGGCAGTCCATAGTTGTAGTCAGCTGTTCTTTTTGCTTCGTAAACAGGTATGGGCTTGGTAACATATACAGGGCAGTTTTTCTTCCAAGAGCTTGTTTTTCTCTTTCTCTGTGCAAATGGTTTGTTGCATGTCTGACTCTTTGGTACTGATCTGATGTGAGAGTTGAACACAGAGGTTTCTTGTGTGATGCGCTGCTTAATGCTTTCTCCATTATGATGATCACCTGAACAGCTACGCTCATTTAGCGTACTGTTTTTGCTTTGTCCAAGGTCACACACCAAAGCACTTCGGCTACAAAGCCTGAGCTGAATGGGTGTGGCTGATGCCTTTTCAGGAACTGGATCATCACTCCTGTTTTGACCTGTAAAGGCATGAATAGTTTCTTCAAAGTGGGAACACAAGCTCTGATTTGTGTTTTCAGTAGAGAAATCCAGCCTTCTGCAAATGCATGATGGTCTGTAACAGGAAGTATTAGAATTACACAGGAAAGCTCTACTTTTATCGTTGTTGTGTCTCCCATCTCCATCACGGTTTCCATACCCATCTGGACCTAAACTACAATTATTGAGAGGAAACATCTCATCACCTCCTTCATAATCGGACTCATTGTACATCCCAACATTGTCATATGTAAGGCTCGTTAGATCATGGCTTTTAACTAGTTGAACGAGCTGGAAAAGGCGAGCTCTGTCCTCCATTGAGCAAACTCCCAGGAGGGGGTAGTCCTCCATCCTGAGAGCCGAAAGGTGGGCTGCCTGGTAAACACCCATCAAGGTGAACCTATGACAGAAAAAAAACATACACAGTATACAGTATAACATCAGATAATTCAAACAAACAACGTGCATTTGAATGACCTGTCTGCTTACCTTGCATAATAACGCTGCAGCCCAGCAGCTGTCAGACATTTGTAAAGGCAAACTGTCATTTCCTCCCTTGGCTTTTCTCCTCGTTTAATCCTTTACTCCACCTTACAAGAGACAAGTGGAAAATGTCACTTTGGCTTTTCTCTATTAGAAAATAAATAGAATATGAAGTGAGCAGCTTGTGTTAATGAAACTGCCACAGCAGTGGGTAAAACAGTACCCTGTCTGCTAAAAATGATGACCAAAGTTTGCTTACTGTGGCAATACTACCAGCATATCTTGTTGATTGGAAAGCAAAGCAAAGAGGTGCAGCACGATGCTGAAACCTGACACGTGTGCAGGATGGAGCCATGGCTGACACCGGTGCAGCTGTAACACATTTCTCTACAGTTGCAAATGTTTTAAATATAGAAAACACAACCCAAGCAACTGGAGACTTGTACTTTACACTTGCTTACAGCTAGAACTACAGTATGCTAACAAATGGAGAACTAAAACCCACTTACAGATCTTTTTAACCACAGTCCTTTTCAATTAGTCAGACAGACGACATTATTAGACCATCCATCCTTTTCTGTACATGTTTAATCCTTACATGATCGCAGGGGGTTGGTGCTTAGCCCCAGCTGTCATAGTCTCTGAAGGAGTCTACCTCCTGAACGGATCAAGACACTGGGAATTTGTTATATAGCCTCAAAAACGCAATAAAATCCATTAGGGAATTGCTGAATATTACCACGAAAGAGGGATGGATTCTTTGAAAGGTTGTAAGGAATTTATCAATGTAATTTGAAACGGCTACTGAATTGTGTTTTTTCTGATTCCTGAGGGTTCAAGGCTTTGATTGGCCACTTTTTCAAGGAGTATTTGAGCTTTATACGCATTCTCTCAAATGCTTCAAATTTGAGTCTTCTTCTACTTGCTAAGGGAAGTTGGTATTATTCAGAGTACAGCCAGCTCTTAAACTGCACTACATGTGCAGTGGGTGGCACTTAATCTGATTTTAATGGATTTGAGAGGAAATGCTGATATTATTATTTGAAAAATAAACAAAAAAAGACAGACATTTGAATTGAAAAAGCTTCCTGGACGGGAAGCGAAGCGTCTTCAAACCTTGGAAACCAAGTCCAGTGGATTGTTTTTTAAACTTTTACAGAAAAACAGAAAAAGGTTAACAATAAATCAAGTAGATTCGCTATCATTACGTTTTATGAACAATGTAGCCATACTGGATTGTGAAGTCTGGGTAGAGGAGATACTTCTGGCCTTTTTATTTGGATCTCTGATTACTGGGGACCCTTCTGTTGATTATTCTGTTTCAAGTTTGAATTTTTCAAATTTTGAGGAAAACAAATGGATACGTGAAATGTTTTGTCAAATGAGTCACAAACCAAGAGCTATAAAATCATTTATTTTTATTTCCTGCTCATCTGTTCTAGATATTATATAGGGGAGTGTCGGCCTAGTGGTTAGGGCATAAAAGTTGGAATCTTAAAGTTCTGAGTTTGAACCCCACTCTGGGTCTCTGAGCAAGACCTTTAACCCCCCATTGCTCCCGGGCGCCCCACGATGGCAGCCCACTGCTCCCCAAGAGGATGGGAGGTTTTTATATTATTATTATTTTATTAGAACACATAAGAGCCAATGGATCACTGTAAGTATATTTATATGATCTAATATATAATGCAACCTAAGAAAATATTAAATAAGCTATAATTAACATGACATAATTAAATTAAAATCTGATGAAATTTGTGAAATATCTGAAATTTGTGCCAGAAAATGCAACATAAGAAATGCAGAATTAAGATGCCTTTCATAGCCATATTTCATTTGAATACATGTAACCAAAACGCATAATCTTTATCTCTTAAATACAACCGACTATATATATAAATAAATAAAAAAATACTCACGCTTAGAAGGGAACGTTACGCTGCCGTTAATGTTTCTGCCTGCATGGCATTTCCGTACACAGTTCGGTCTCCATAACTACTGAAACAGTTCAGCGCCTCTTACTCTCTCTCTCTCTCTCTCTTCCTGGGAGCAAAGCTTTAGTCAAATTAACCTTCATATAAAGGGAGGTTTATATGCAGCCGGTCTGTTCAGCACGAATGATAATCCGCCAGAAGCTTAAACCCCACCAGAGCAACTACTAAACCCAAACACTTAACCACTTCAAGCAATGGTCAACTAAATAGTCACGTGGGAGTTATTAATAAAGGTGGTTTACTGTGTTGGGTTGTTTGTTGTTTCTTTTGAAAAAAAGAAAAAGAAAAGCAAAACAACTAGACCGGTTTATCATAAAAAAACATAGTTATAAATAATAATATAATATGTCGGTAAAGCTAAATACAGTCAAATAGGCTATTTTAAGCATAATTTGTAAATGTTTAAAAATAGTTAGATGTTATTTGTAAAAAGGGATTAGGATGAACATCTGCGCAAAAAAAAGAAAACATTCAAAACAGTCCTAAACATTTTCAAAATCATTATTTATGGAGTTCTTATCAAAAACCTTTAAGAAATTATACAATGTTTGCATTTATTATTTTTTTTAGCTGTTTTGATTAAGTTGTATTTAAAACATGTTTATTACAAATAATATGTAAAAGATGAGGCGGAATGAACAGCATGTGGTTTTATGTTTCTAGTGGGACTTAATTCAACATCGCTCCGCAACATTTGCTCGACTTCCTATCGTAGTTTTTATTTGTTTATTCGCGGCCAAAGGTTTCGGTAAGCTTGTTGGATATAACGAAGTTTTCTTAAGTGTAATTTAAGTGAGATAAATCACCGAAACCAGTCCTGTAAAGGAAGCAGTTTGGAGATAAACTATTTAGCCTGGGGACTCCATGGTCTGGTCCCTTTAACTCAGTCAGCTGAGTCACCTGAGTCAGAGAGTGACCAAAACTAGAACATGTAGGTTCAATTTTTCTTTGTTTTGTGTTGTACATTCCGGGTAAAACATACAAGCGAGCTACCATTCTATATGTCAAAAAAGAATCTCCAGTCATTTCTAAAGATTTTATAAAGTTTTTATTCGAATATCAGTTTTATCAGTCCTTCGAATGACCATTATTCTTGTATCAAGAACTAGAAATTAATTGTTTGTTAATTCTTGTTATTTGTTATTAATTTAACAACCTATACCTTTAAATAAAAACTTACATCAAATTTAAATTTAATGCTTACCAAACAATATCCTGGTACTTCCGGTGCATTCAAAATAATAATAATAATAATAATTTGAATCGTTTGGGCCAATCTTCTCTCTCTTTTTTTGTAGTTAGCTGTTACATACATTCTTGCCTACATCCGGTGGTTGCCAGTTCTTCTCTGACTCCACCCATGCCACTAATGAGAGCACAGCACTGGAATGGCAACTCACAATTTACATGTTTGGTGACAGAGGAGACATTTTTCCCTATTTGATGAAACTGGACAAAGAGAATGAAAAATATATTTGTAAAAAAATCCTAAAATGCTTCCCATTTTTAGCTCAAGATGTGGGACTTTGCTTTGCAGTGAAAGAATACAAACCTACTACTTTATATTTTCTCTGTATAAATTATTACAATTTTGCTGTAAACATTACTGTGAAGACCACCTACAACAAAGGTGGTTTTTAAAAAGGGAACAACTGGATTCCCACTATAAGCCCTAAAGTCCCATTGTTTTGTTTTTAAAACCTTTTTGGGTTTGCCATATCCTAAGTTACTGAGAACATTTGCCAAAACTAAACAAAACTTCTTGTCAAGCTCTTGTTTGTTTTTGTTGTTTGTTTGTTTTTTTCAAATAAGCAGCTGGATAGTTTGAAATTGATCTTGTAAGTAGAACCTAGACAATTTACAGAAATGTTTTACTTCAGAGTTATTGCAAATATATCTTAGGGGTTCCAGTTCAACAAACATCAGATCTTGGCCCATTAATATTTACTTTACTATATGATAAGTTTTCTGCCAATAGCTAATTGGGAATAAGCTTTTGGTACAAGCAGCAACATTTTATGACTGTAATCGTGTTGTCTGTTATAGTTAGTAAAGAATGCTTTAAACAAGTTGTGTTTGATTTGCAGCAGTACAATCAGGATGTCATCTGAGGAAGTCAGCCCCCCTTCCTCCTCTCCCACAATGCATTTCATCGGAAAGAAGGCAGATATTGTTAAGGCTGGCCGTGTGACAAAGCAGGTGAACGGATGCAGAGATGTGCTTGTCATGTACCACCATGGGCAGCTTTATGCATTGGACATGCGCTGTTACCGTAAGCTCCGTTTAATTAAGATCTGTGATTTTATTTACACAGTTGAACTACTGTAAGTTATAACTGCATGCCCCCCCCCTCTCTCCCCATCAGATGCAGGTGGTTCATTACAGAATGGAGACATTGAGGTTGGCTTTTTTTTTTTTGTTGTAAATTATTATATATGATGGGTTCACAGAGAAAACATGTTCTTGACACACCAAGGGGGAATAGGTTTATATCATCATCCATCGTGAAGCTTTGGGGATATTGTACTTCAGCCGGTTTAGATAGGTTGGTGAGAGTAGAGGGGAATATAGATGGAGTGGAAAAACAGCAGCAGTGTTATCCAGGCAAAGCTACAAGGTGAAGATCAAAGTATATTTATGCCGTAGGATAACCAAGTTAAAGTTTAAAAACAGTCTTGAAATAGATTTGAAATAAGTTGATATTAACTCTTGAGTGAGCTTGACCTGTTTTCCACAGAGAACTGGGCAAATCTTAATGGTAAACAATAATAAACTTTTAATGAATACGTTTTAGGCAGTGTGCATAATAGTTTAAGTATGTTTTATATTTAAGGTTTTGGTGTGTACAGGAGATTTTTTTTTATTGTATATTTCTATCATAATCATGGAGGTAGATTTATTGGTATACCTGATTTGTACTTTGTTTTAATGCTTTTGTCCCCTCCCTCTCAATAAGGAGTTCAATGGACGGCTTTGCATTGTTTGCCCATGGCACAAGTACAAGATTACCCTAGCAGAGGGCGAAGGACTTTACCAAGCTGTGGACGATCCTACTGTCAGACCACTTAGGAGTCACTGGCGCTCCAAGGGAATCAAACAGAGGGTTCATAAAGTCACTGAAGTCGGCGGGGATGTTTATGTGACACTGAATGACTCCAGCGACCCTATAGAGTCTGATGTCTATCAGACTGAGAAATACAGGACTGGTACCTTCAATATGCAGCCCAAAGTCAAGACGTAGTGGGACTATTAAACTGTTATTTTATTAAACTTTTTATTTTTTTTATTGTCCAACCCTCTCCTGCTTTCTAACGTAGTTTAATAATTAAACTGAACCGCGTGAGTACTTTTTGATATGATGTCAATAGTTTTCCATTTTTATTTTCTAGTACTGATCTTTTTAAACTCTAAAGCTTTCAAACAAAGCAATACCTCACAGGGAAAGAATTAAGCTTTCTTAGGGAAGTAAGCTATTATAGATCATTACAGATCAAGCCAATGTGCATCACTTTAAAGTTAACTGTAATTCACCCCTGGTGTCCTTAAAAGTGGGTTGTCCTTTTGTCTTTAAGTTACTTTTAACATTTAATATAACTGCTTTACTGTTTGAATACACTTCTTTTTTTAAAACCATGGTCTTTCTGGAGAATTTGACCATTCCTTCGACTAGTCAGTTGAAATTTGGTTTCTTGTTTTCCATGTCTGGTATGGTGAATATAAGAATGTTTTGTTCTTCCATTCTCTACAGGACTAGTACCGCGCAATTGCACTTTTTTTGTTGTTGTTTACAATTGTTTATACTGACGTGGCATGGTTAACCTTTCATTTGCCTCTCATCACCATAAATTTAACATTTTACTTGCCGTCTTTTAGCTGCTATATTTACTGACTGAATGTACACATTTGTAATAGAAAAGATATTTTCTTTTCTCACAGTTTGTAGCAATGTTGCCTTGCAGCAAGAAGGTCCTTGGTTTGATTCCCGGACCATGCAGTTTGCATGTTCTCCCTGTGCATGCATGGGTTTTCTCCGGATTCCCCTGCTTCCTCCTATAGTCCAAAAATATGACTTTTAGGTTAATTGGTATCCCTAAATTTTGCATGGTTGTATGTCTCTGTGATTCCCTGATATAGACTGGCGACCTGTCCAGGGTGTGCTCCACCTTTTGCCCATAGAATAATAGACTGCTGGAGGTAAGTCCTAGCTCCACCAAGACCTTAATGGATGGATTTTTCTTTTTTTAGATTCCATATTCAGACAAACTGGACCATTTGATTATTAACCCCTTTATGACAATTGTTGCAAATATGCAACAAACCCTTACAGCCTAATGTGAATACAACACTAACTACAATCTCTACTGCGACCATCACAGAAACATATGAGCTGATATACAGTACAACATTAGTGATTCTTGAGTTGCTTGGCCAAGGTAATCAAGAACTTCCAGAGGAAAATATCCACCATGGCAGAGAAAGTTAGAAGCCAAAATCAAGGCAACATGGAAAGAAGTAAGCCAACTCTTTCAGAACTCCAGAGGGGATCATTTGGCAAAGGAATGCTGCAGAAATATAAACAGATGCCCATACCTCAGCCACTGGAAATTGCCAAACAAAGACTCCAAGCCTTGGCAGCCTAACTAAAGAGCTACACCAAAGAGATGGAAGCCAGGCGAATAAACTAGCTGTTCTCCACTGAACCAGCTGAGGGGTACTCCCAGTGGCAGGGTAACAACAACACAAGCCAACTTTCCAAAGCTGAAGAGTGATGCACAGTGGCTAAAGGACCAAAGAGCTGACCATGCAAACCTCCCTTAACAAGGTCCTGTGAACATTAAAATGGCAGACCTCCAACAAAGACTATCTGGTCTACCAGCTGGAAATCTGTTAATACTTTCAATCCATTATAATTGCGATTCTTCTCAAACACATCTAAGCCTATTGAAATAAAATATTAACTTTTGATTTAAGTCGATTTGACTTTGTCATTTATTTTTAAGTATGTCCTTTTTTTCTCGTCTATTTATCTAACTTTTTTCCTTTCACAATTTTCTTTGAATATTCCAGCATGTTTTTAAGGAAGAGGATTAGGGCCACTGAAAAAAAAAAGTTAACTGATTTTTAAATAGTATTTCATTTTAATTTGGGGAAAAAGTCTGAATTCTGACTTTAATCTCTGAATTCTTTAATCTCTGAATTCTGACTTTTTTCCCCTCAGAATTCTGATTTTAATCTCTGAATTCTGACTTTAATCTAAGAATTCTGGATCTTATTGAAGGAACAGATGTGGGAGCACTCAGCTTTAATGACAAAGATGTGAGTTGTTTGGGACGGCCAGAACTAGGTGATTTTTTACGTGCCTAAGGGTTCCCCAGTTATGCTATTTCATTAATGGAAGAGAAGGTGATTAAAATAAGAGATTAAAGTCAGAATTCTGAGGGGAAAAAAGTCAGAATTCTGAGATTAAAGTCAGAACTCTGAGAAAAGAGTCAGAATTCTGACCTTTTTCTCAGAATCCTGAATTTTTTTCCCCTTATATTATACAGAAATAAAATGTAAAAATCAGTTAACTTTTTTAATTTTTTCAGTGGTCCTAATCCTTTTTGAACGTCTCGCGTTGTCGTGCAATATCAAACCTGGCGCTAGGGGGCAGCAGGCCGCTTCAGGCCCTGTAGACTAACAGGAAGTAGAAGAAGACGCAGCAGGTCGTAGTTCGGGATGTTGAAAGAAAAGGGGAAGCCGTGTAGTTTACCCAGAGCTGGAAAACGATAGCCTGATTTTATTTTATTTTTTTAAGACTATCAGTGCGGCGGATGTTATGTGGAGTAGTTGAGCTGAGATGGAAATCATCAGCAGATAAAGAATAACATTTCTTCTCCTTTGCTTTAAAACAAACAAAGTACCTACATGGCTTCAGGTCAGTGTTTGAACAGCTGTGGAATTGGATGCTTTCCTTTCTTTGCATGTGTTTCATATTGTATCCTGTTTTCTGCAGAGGATGAATGGAACCTTCTGGTCATCGTGGTGGATGTAAATCCCATCTGGTGGGGTCAGCAAGGTCAGCGTGAACCAGAGGTACTGTCTTCTCAGTCACATCTTTTGACTCTGGAGTGATTTGGCTAAATTATTCATTTTATTAATTTTACACGTTTTCTCTGCTTTGTTTTTATGCATTTTTAAATTATTATTATTGTTGTTTTTTTCCCGCAATTTTTTTGTGTGAATGTAATGTAACATGCTTCCCTATGTATTTATTTATTATCTTTTAATGGATTTTTTTATAGCGTGTTTTTATGTGTGAATGCAGTGTGACACATAGTTTGGACTATGTAGCAGCCAGAGTCTGTACCCAAATCCCATTTCCTTTGGGACAATCAAGTTAATCTTATCTTTCTGCTTTTCAAGTTCACTTTGTCAAAGTGTCTGGATGCTGTTATGGTGATGGGAAACTCCCACATGGCGATGACCAGGACAAACAGGCTGGCTGTTATCGCCAGTCACTGTCAAGACAGGTAACTACAGTTAGGAGCTACATGCTCTGACTGGGATTAGTGGAGCTTTACCATGTTTTCAGAATCCTTATGCTCAGATTTCTGAGATATTTTGTCGAAAGCTCCATCCATCCATTTGACTGTCTGACCAATATTTATATATAAGCCTATTATAGAGCGTGCAATCTATAAGGAAGCTGCATAATATGAATTAAAACAACATTTAATCTCCTTTTGGGATCATTCAATGACTTTGAATAATATTCACATTCCCAATTTTTTTATTTTCTAATCGTTTGAATAAAAAGTAATACCTCTATTAAAGGGTCTACAGGGCATTTATAATTTTTACTGTAATTGAATAAAAATCAGTATTATTCAAAAGGTTAGGTTTGTTTTTAGTCGAGATCAGCACATCTCTAGTTTATCTCTTTAAGGAATTTTATTTAAATTTCCATTTATTATACTCTAAAGTTTTACATAGAGTTCTGTTTTCACAGTATTCTGTTGTCATCATATGTCCATCTAAGCAGAAATGCAGTCACACCTAAATACCTACGACTGCTTTGTTTTCTTTAACTTTCTGGATTAAATGTTTTATACGTTTCACCATTTCTTTCCTTCTTCCAGTCACTTCCTGTATCCAAGTAAGAACTGGAATAATGGGGACAGCGGTGGCGATGAGTCGTCCTCCAGCCGAGATGGAAAGTACGAACTCCTGTCTGTCGCCAACAACCTTATTACTGAAGAGATCAGGAACATTATGATGAAAAGTGGGTATCAATCTGTGATTTATACCTGGTAACACTAATCTAAAAGTTTTTTATTTGATTTTACTGACAAGCATCTGTGTGATACTGTAAAGATATAACTTGTTGGATAATTCATTATTAAACTGCTGGGTGTCTTCTTCCTGCAGCTGAAGTAACAGGGAATTCAACCGACACCCTCTTGGCAGGATCTCTTGCTAAAGCTCTGTGCTGTATCCTTTCAGTCACTTTGGTCCAGTTCAGGAGAAGTGACAGAAAACAGAGAATTCATGACATTTATGTGATTTCTCTAAAGAGAGTTTCATGACATCTGGGCAGATAAACTAAAATTATTTTATTCCATTTTTCCTAGTTTTAGTTTTTGAACTAAATGTTGATCTTGAGTTAAATTTGACTGAATACTGACTTTTCATCTAAACAAAAAATACATTTCTCATCAGTTTGAATTTGCAATGGTTTTTGGCATGTACATACAGTATGAAACTAAACTATTTCTTTTCCTTCTTTTTTGTGGTGATAAACCATTGTATCATTATATTTTTAAGTTAATGAGCTCTGCAGGAGAAATGCTAAAAAAGTCTGCTAAATTTCCCTTTTACCTCAGGTGTAACGCTTTAGGCCTCAAAAGCCAGGGTCATGCATCTTGTAGATAAAGCCAAGTGGCTGAATGACAGCTGGTCAACCCTTACCTCTAACATCTACAACATTCATAACACTGAATACAGAGGACTGGAGTTAACCCCATCCTGCCTATTTTGGGATTGTTTTAAAACGTAAGGCTGAAGTTTTTCTAATACTCCCAACACCTTAACATCGTGCACATTGTTTTATGGTCAATTTTCCTTTCACGTTTTAGTGCTTAACTTAAAAAGGTCTCATTTGTATTTGCTGATCCCGTCCATTTAAACACAGTGTTTAAATGGACGCAGAATTAGCAGGTTTCTACAGATTGGAGGGAAAACATGCAGTGGATATTCCAAAAAAAGTAAAAAACAAAAAAAACACTGGACTTTGTTTTTCAAGTTTTAAGACAACTTGCTTCTCATCCAGCATCTTCAAACTTGGAAAAGTCAAGTGGTTGGTTTTTTTAAGTTTTCTGTAATGACTGAGAATCTTCTCCATCATTTAGACACAGATTTATAAGGCATCTTAAATCAGGACCATCAGGTGTGAAAGGAAATAGTTGCTTGTGAAGACCTCATGATGCATTCAGGTCTATCCTGAAATAACTCTTGCTTTCAGTTATGGTTGTCATTAAATGCACCTTAGTCTAATAAAGCACTTCTTTAAAATCAAAGTTAACCATCCTTAAGTGGGTTTATTGTCTGCTTTCTACTTATTTCCAAGAGATAAGATAGAAATAAAATAGAAAATAAGATGGTTTGAATTCATTGTGAGATTTTCTTCCCATTCAACATCTCTGAATGTTTCCAACAGCATCAACATGCTGACATTTGGTACTGTCCGTTACAAAGATCAGCAGAACTTCAGGAAGACACTCATCAGCAGATCTTGTTCAGTCTCTTTTACTAAGGTTTCTGGGCCTAATGAGGTGAAATAACACAAAAATGTAAAATCTCCACGCTGGGACAAATAAGAACTGATCTAATAAGTAGATCAGGGCCATGCTGATTGTTAGTGAAGCTAAATAGAGTTTTTGTCAGATTGATAAATTTTTTTTAACCAATGTTCACTATAAAGAGAAAGAATGTGACAAAAAGTCATGGTGGTTTTTTTTAGTTACTTTACATATAAATAGATAAATAGACAGCTTAGTCTAAACAAACATGGAATGCTGGAAATCTTACACGCTGGAGAAAAATCTCTACAGGCGAAACTCCGACCCACACATATGTAACGATCTAAACTTCTTACTGCTGAACCTTTTAAATACACTTTGCATATGTATTGGCTCTGTAAGCTGTTTTGGAAATTTCCTTAAAACTTCACCTCACAGATATTCACAGGGTGTCAAAGGAATTAGAAGGTAATGTCTGCTTAGATCACTATGTCCAAATGTAATTCATTGTCCTCTATTAGCACACTACAGTGTCTCGATTGTTTCTCTAGTTGGACAGGAGATGAAGTCAAGGATATTGGTAAGGTCTCCTTTTATTTTTCACTTTATTCTTTGTAATGCTGATTTGCTATCATTTGAACGTCTCCATATCTGCTCGCCTGCCTTCTAAGTCGTACTCGCATATTTTGCTACTTCCTGCCTTTTTGCACTCATTAAAAATTCCCTGCCAGTTTATTTCTCCTGCTAGTTATGCATTTTGATGTATTCAGCTTTGGGCAGAGAGTCCCATCGCCTACTTTGAGAAAAAAAGATGACTGTTTTTAATTATTTCTATTTACATTTTAAAGTCCACGTTTACTACTGAAAAATACTTAATTTAAACATGGTGCAGCCCATAAAATGATAAAATGTCCCATTATTTGATCCTAAAGCTTTCTCCTGATCACTGTCGATCAGTTTGTCTTTGACTGAGGATCGTGTTTTTGCTTTTCTCATATTTGTTTAGGTGATAAAAGCAGCTGATGACTGTGCTCTCCAGTACATGAATTTCATGAATGTGATTTTTGCTGCACAAAAACAGGTGAAATCCCAAACTCCACTGCTCTACTCATCTTTTATTATGCATTTATTCAGTTCATTAAAAAAAAGCAGAAGATACACAAATTATTCTTAATATTTTTCTCAGAACATCCTAATAGATGCGTGTGTGCTGGACTCAGATTCAGGGCTCCTTCAGCAGGTAGTTTTGATGCTATAGGAGGCTTATTAGTATAATCAATGACAAGTTGTTTGAAGATATGAAAAGGAAAAAGTTGTAACAGCTGGGATGTGTTTCAGGCCTGTGACATAACAGGAGGTTTGTACCTGAAAATACCTCAGAAAGTAGCCCTGGCTCAGTATCTCCTGGTGAGTGTTGCTCTCGCTGCTGTAGTCTGTGGTTGATCTGTGCTGAAGGTACATTTTTATTTTTTTGTGTGGACAGTGGGTGTTTCTGCCTGACACAGAGCAGCGCTCCCAGCTGGTGCTGCCGCCTCCTGCTCATGTGGACTACAGAGCGGCCTGTTTCTGCCACCGGAACCTCATCGAAATCGGTTATGTCTGCTCGGTTTGTTTGTCCAGTGAGTACCGTACTCAGGAATATGAATGCTTTTCATAGAAAGAAAAAAAAAATGCACTGATGACTTTTTTCTAATTTTCTTAAAGTTTTCTGCAACTTCAGTCCTATTTGCACGACATGCGAGTGAGTCCATTCATGTAGCGTCACCACAACATAAGTGAAAACAGTTTTCTGATCATTTGAACTAATTCGTTTTTTTTTTTTAGGACGGCGTTTAAAATCCAGCTACCCCAGATAGTCAAACCTAAAAAGAAGAAACTGAAGCAAGCGGTCGGATGATTTTTTTTTTTATATGCCATTGAGGCAGATTTGTTTAGTTCATATGAGAAGCTGCCCCTCATTCCTTTAACACCCTGGGTAAAATGATTTGCTATATGAGGAAAAAAATCTTTGTTTAGAAGGGGAAGATTGTTTCAGCTTAAAGATACACTCAATTATTTGTTCACCGTATTTGATTATTTGTGCAAAAAAAAAAATGAAAGCTGACATTAGCTACTTAAAAAAAACTGCAGCTGGGACATGTCTTTTTATAATAAACCTTTTCTATCAATGTTTGTTTCTTCTATCTTCTTTATATGTGAGGGATTCATTTTCATTTTAGAGTATTTTAAAGCAAATACAGCAGTATTTTTATTCACAGATTTAGAATGTAATTTGGTAACAATAAAGAGACAGCTTTTTTTTCAAAGATTGATTTCCTGACAAATATGTCAAATATCTTAACTTTATTGGCTTTTGATGAATGAATTAAGTTATTGCAAACTTCTTGCATTCCAGAAAATGGTTTAGCTATGTTAAAATCTATTTATATCTGGATAAAATTCTCTTTGCAAATTGCAGATAAACTTTAATACATTTTGTAGCACAAATTTAGGTCCCAACATGTATCTGGTTAAATATTTGAATGTTTAAATTTAAGCGGACTCCATAGCCTCAGAGGATTGAGTTAAGGAACATCAGAATAAAAACATTTTGGTGTGCTTGGGATCGTTTTGTGTCCAGCTTTCAGTCATCTGAACTGCAACACTCAGATGGCAGGAACAGAAAACACCTAGAATACGCTGGAACATCTGTATTTCTGTCCTAAGATCTTCATGGACTGAGAGAAGGCTGACCAAAGAAAGAACCTACAAGCATGAGAGGCAGAATTCCAGCACCTCACATGAACTAAAAGAGGGAAAAAAAATCTTTACTATCCCATAATAGATAAATTCAGATGGGTCAGTGACAAATGACCCATACATTTCAGAGGACAGAGGAAAATGTTTTGGTCAGTTACACTGTAAAGCAAAAGAGAAAATAAACTGTAGTTATTTAAATATTTCATACATTCAATACAATTGTTTGCTGTTTTAAAACACGTCAAAACCAGCCAACAAAATCACACACTTTTATTAAACACCTGCGCAGATAAAGGGATTAATGGAAATGTATAGTGTAGTTGAGCACATTGGAAGGTCTGCACATAACGATATGCATGAGGAAGCAACAAAATTACTGTAACGGAAGAGATGAAGATTGATAAATGTTTTTCCAAATTAAGGCTATAAACTGAACAACCAAGGACAAACTATTCGGCACGGCAGTGATATAATCATGCAGCGGTCCTGTCTCAACACCACTGGTAGGTTGTGGTGGGTGGAACACTGAAAGAGACCTCAGCACGTGTAAAGACGACCTAATGATGTTTCCATTTTAGAAAGGATAAATCAGGCTAAAGTGAAGCTTCTAGAATTGCTCCAACATCAACACTGTAAGCAAAGGTTAAGGTCCGCACTTGGATTGGATCCCAGGAATATAATAGATTTAAAATAGCTGTATTGTTTCAAATACAAGGAGTGGTGAAGAATCTAAGCTTTAGAGTCTGGGAATCTTGTGCAACATCCAAAGAGCCGTTAAACCAGCCATTAGTTTGGCTTTTTGTACATACTGTATTTGAGTCTGGATGTGTTATGCAAACGTTTTAAACTCCTTTTAATTTTAATAGTTCAGAACTGAACGTCTGACATTTTGCAGTGTCAGCATGGTTGTACAATTTTAAATCCATTTGAATTTAAAACCTTTTTGCACCATTTTTATTTTTGTTCCGTTAACGTTTAAACATTCTTTGCACACTTTTTAAAACCTTACAATATGACAGTCCTGTCGCTGCTGCACTTAATATTTTATCCTTTTATCCATTTTGTTTCAACTTCTTCGTATTAGGAGGCATATTCAATAATTTTTCAGTGTTTATACTCTGTTCATTTAAAATTACAACAAAGTTTGTTATTTTAATCTTGGAAATATTTGGCCACAGACTTGGACTCCAGAGAGGTTATCTTCAGATTATTGCTGCTCCTTCCCCACACTAGATCAACTCAGCTTTTTTGTTCTTATAAGAAAGCAAAAAATAAATGTAAGCAAAGCACACATTGAAAAAGATCTGTACAAGCTTCTGCCTTTGTGTAAAGATAAAGGATAAGAAAAACATATGGCTTAACTGTATATTTTTTTCAACCCAAAGCAGTTGCTGCACTCATTGAGAACTGCCTGGTTTCAATCAGAAATATGCAATAAGTTAAAAACTGTCCAAATGGGTGGATGTCTCTATTTCCACGACCAGATTCCTGTTTTACTGGGGAAAAAAATCAGTATTTTGTAGCTTTTGGTTTTTTAATCACCGATTTTAATGTTTTACACTTCAGAGGAAGCACTTTACTCTTATCGCTATTAAAAGGTTAAAAATCTTCTATTTCATGTTCTACCTCTGATGCTTTGTCTAATGTACAGCTGAAAATATCAAATCATTTCCCTTGAAGGTCAATATAAAAAAAAACACAATTATAAACCACATCCAGGTTAATATAGGAATTATTTTTACAACCGAAGATTACCTCAACAGTCCAAACATCAAAAAAGGAATCCCACCCAATGACAACCATATCTGCATAAACTGATCTCTGCCATTTCTAAAAAAAAATATATTTCTGTAAAATAATTCACCCTATGCTGAATTAATTAAATTAATACATTTCTTTGCAGCAGCCGGTCCCATGGGGACTGAATGAAATGTATTTACTGCATTTTATACAAGTGAAAATATTGCTGATTTTCTTCAGGAACAACCTTTATTCAACTCCAGTAATATTGTGCACACCCAGTCTAGAAGTTATAGAAGAAACTCATCTGCACCCATATTAACCAGATCCTTCTGAGCTCCTTGGGGAAAGAACAGGTAGAACACAAGAGTTGATCCACTTCTTCCTTAGTAGTTTGTTTAATTCAGTCCCCTTTGCTGCAGCGCTCCAATTTTGACATAATCCATTCAGAGTCACTGCACGGATAATAAGTTTAAATGTTCACACTGAGAAACTGAATATAAATCCAAACTTCTGTTGAATAGAGTACAAAAACAAAACTCAGGGAAGGAGAATGAGAGTCCCAGGTTCCGATCTGGAAAAAGCTTATGATGATTATCGCTGGACTGGAATGATGTTGCATCTGAAAAATAAAATAGAAAAAAAAAGGATTGTAATCTGAACAGTTATTCTACAAAGCTGACTGTACCAATTTATCGCTACCTGCCATCTACATAGAGAAAGATTTTTTTTTTTCTTTCCTTCCCTTGTGCACTCACCCCAGCAGACCCCTGCCGGACCACCGCTGTGGAGTCAGGCTCATCTGAACCTTTTGGCCGTCTCTGATCACAGCGACGCGTAAAGGTTTCTAAAAGCAAAAACATTACGCTGTTGTTTACACTGGGTGATCACCATATTCAGAAGGTGTTATAGTCAAGGTGTTATACAGTCAATGTATCCAAGTTTGCAACATTTTTTAACACAAAAAATGAAAATAATACAGTTGGACAAAATATGAAGAATTAAATCTAATTAACAGCTGAAAAGCATATGAAGATGCATAACTTCTTTTCCTTCTAAATAAAATTAAGTAAAATAAAAAACAAACTTACTCCTTCACTGTGTTGTACAACTGAAGCAATATTCTGCAAGTTCTGGAAGTTGTTTGTGTTCACAGAGCCAAACTCAATCACTTCATCTCCTACCTTCAGACCCTGTGCAAAAAAAAAAAATTAAATAAAAACAAGTTATGCTTAAAGAAATAAGCTCAATATGCATGACTGTCAGAGTAAATGACACATGACGGGTTTACTAAGTTAAAAGGCAGAAACAAATGTCGCTCACAGCTTTAAAGGCAGGCGAGCCGCCAGTGACAGCATCCACTTTAGCAAAAGGAGGAGGCAGAGTGGGCTGCTGCTCCATCGCCTCCTGCTGGCTTCCAGCCTCATCTTGCTCCCGCTTGGCTTTCTCTCGAGCATGCAGCTTGTGCAGAGCTTCTTCTATCTCTGCCATGATGGCTTTGTGGTCATTCTGCAGGCCTGAAACACAAAGGCACCAATTAATTGCCGTATACTTGTTCCAGCAGCTAGAAAATTAAAAATGTATCTCTTAAACTCCAAGAGAGAAAAAGGAAAGTAAAAGAACAAAAGTAAAGTTAAATAGTGGAAGCAAACATCGCATCACAGCGGAGGTCCAGGAGAAGATAAGTCATCTAGAATCAAGAGGTTTGAAGACCTACAAACTTTTTCAAAGTAACTCAAGAATGATGCTCAATGATGCCTTATAGCAGAGGTCTGCAACCTTTGAAATCCAAAGAGCCATTTAGCCTCATGTCTGGTTGTTTAGAGCTGCAAATACTTTATAACAGTTCAATTGAACACAGCTTTGTCTGTTGCATATCTGATATAGTAAATCTGTTGCCATTTCAAACCAGTTTATTTGTATCATTAGCTTTTCAAATAAGAAAAAACAAAAAATGTTTCATAAAGATGAAGCATGGATTTTCCCTTCATAGGAGATTATGTAAAAAAAGAAAAAAATTATCTACTGATAAGAAAAGTAGATATAAAACATATATTTTTTTGTTCTTTTAATGTTTTGTGTTGTGAAAATTAAATCGAAATAAGAACTCTTCAAAGAGTGGTATTTATCATTACACTAGACTATCTGCTTCGTTATATAATTTTAGGCCACTATTAAGAGCCACTGTAGAAACAACTCTGCAGCCGCAGGTTCTTGTATTATAACATTTATTACCACTAATCTGCTTTTTGAATCTCGCCTCTCTTGAACTGTAAATACTGAGGTCATCTTATCAATCATGGGATGCCACTCAAGTTCACGTTTGTAAAAATTGATGAGTGAATTCAAAAGGGCTGGGTAAAAAAAATCGATTTTGAATCGATTACTTTACATTTTTGCAGAATCGATGTCTAGGAAATGAGATTGATTATTTTAATAGTGACATGCATGACGTTCACATTCAAATGAGCAGGAAAGATGCACTCAAGATTACTTCAAGCCAGACAGCTTCATCTAGCTGTGAATTACCGGTAATATAGCCAATAGGTTGACTGAAGACAATAACAAATGGGGACTGACCAGCAAACACCCTGTAGTTGTTACAGACAATGCTGCACATATGTTTTGTGCATTGAAGATAATGCTCATGCATGTTTGCTGTCTCTCCGCTGTGTCACGTCTGCTTGCTCGAGTGAGGCTTCACTTTTTCACTTTTCACAAACAAGTTTGCACTAATGAGACAGTTTTGTTCACATCTCAAGCTTAAACTATCTGATTTACAAGTTTGCACTTTGTGTTTAATGTGACAGGAAAAAATAAAATACATGAGTGTTTTGAAACACAGTTGAACCACTTTCATTATTGTAAAAACAGATCGAATCAAAATTTATCGATTTAGAACTGTATGAATCAAAATCGAATCGATTCAGGACTTTGGCGAAAATACCCAGCCCTAGAATTCAAGGACGAACCAGTTATGAGTTTCTTGGACATTTTGCCACAGAATCAAAAATAGATTTAGGTCTGTAGAAGGGCTAAAACAATTAATCGGATTAATCGATTATTGAAATATAATCGTCGACTAATTTAGTAATCGATTAATCATTATCTGGAGTATAGAGACTCTAAAACGTGCCTTTAGCTGACAGAGACCCACTTAGAGCAGTAATTATACCAAAATTGGAAAAAAAAATGTAATAATGTTGCATTTAAGGTAAAATAAATTTGTCTGTCAATATTCTCTATCCAGATATTTTTAGTTTCACCTGATTTACTTTCATAAAAAGTTTTCTTTTTAAGAATCTTTTGCTACCCGATCATTAATCGATTAATCGACAAAAATAGTCGACAAATTAATTGATTTGCAAAATAATGGTTAGTTGCCCTGTTCTGTAGCTCATTCTCATGTTAGAGACCTTATTTTACTATAAAATGCATTTACTCTCTCGTGGCTACCATTAGTTCAACAAGGCTCTGGACCAGGAAGAATATCAAATAACTCAGACTTACATGAAATATTGTGCCTCGCGTCCCTAATCGTGTAAAGGTTGACATCTGCTCGAGGGTAGCCCTCAGCGTCCACCAGAGGACCATCAACCCCAACACCTTGCTGTAAACAACAGGAGAGCTGCTGGTTCAGCGCCGCATTAACTCGTATCTGCACCGTTTATGGGTAAACTTACGTCTTCCAAGACATCTTGGTAAGCCTTTATCTGCTCTTCGATTTCATCTTTCTTTTTAATAAGGTTTTTCACGTCGTCCATTGTTATTTCAGAGCCCTCTGCTCTGTTTTCTCCCGTCATCTTCATGGCTGCTACACTCAGAGCTTCCGGGCTGCAAAAGTTCCTATGACGATAGTTCCGGTGCAGCGCCCCCACGTGTCCAAATGGCGACGGTACCGAAAATGTAAAACCATTTACAGTACTTGCAAAAAGAAACGAAACAAAAACAAAACAGCATTAAAAAAATTTATTTACATAATTAATGAGATGTTAAATAATAAATATCTATTAGACGCATCACATATTTCCTTTAGTTGCATCAATGCTAAAGAAGGCTTTGGGGGGAAAAAGTTTGTTTTGTTATTAAATTGATTGAGTGCAGACTAAAACTATGTGCTTCAACAAGATGGTTTAAGCAGTTTGTTCAAAATCAGTTTACTCTGAAAAACTCACACAATGAGAACATACAATTAGGAGAAATTTATTGATACAATTACTTTGTCTTTGGCGCCCAGACCTTGGCAGGAAACATGGTTAATTTTGATAGATGTGCATGAACAGGAGCAAAGAATAGGGCTGTCCCCCCCCCCCAGGCCTGAAACTGGTGGTGGAGTGGAGATAGATGAAGTTGGTCAGTCTGCAGACTGCTGGTTAGTGAGATGGTATGCTGAGCTTTATGGGGAGATCCAGTGGAATGTGTGAGCTGATACTAGAGTTTCACTCAGGGACCTGGAAGATGGAAGTCCAGTTGGATAACACAGGTTGAGAGAACCTGTCCATGATGAGAAAGCATGGAGCGACAGTGGAGAGGAAAAACTCCCCGTTGGGAAGAAATTTATGGCAGAACCAGGTTCAACATGGTGGTCTTCTGCCGGACTGGTTGAGATGAGACAGGGAACGCAGTGAGAGTCTGGGAGAAATGACACTCTGATGAAGCTTTAGATACGATGGTGGAGGAGGGGCTGGAGGTGGGTTGGAATGGGGTCATCTGAATGAAGTCACACAGCGCATCCCCCACATGCGCACAGGAGCAGACAAGTGCGGATCCAGGCCTTTTAAGATGAACTTTGGATGCCGATTGGCTTTCGTGGAGGTGTGGTTCAAAGCCGATTTGCTGTGTCGAAGGTGGATGTAGAAGAACAATAAGTTTCTTCAGATGAACTTCTGCCAAGGCTCCATATCACCCAAGAGGCATCAGCAGCATATGTTATAAAGATTGCAATGTGACCAATCTGCTGCATATGATGCTCTACTTTTCCTAAGTACTTTTACTATGCAGATACGCAATAGAAAGTGTGATAAAGGGAGTATAAGGCATATTATAATGGCATTTCATTTTAATTAATTAACGGAAAGCTGCTTTAAGATTTAGATTTTCTAGAAAAAATGATTGTTTTTTCTTCCCCATGTAAGGCACTCTGAATTGTCTTGCTACTGCGATGTGCCATATAAATACACCTGCCTTAACTACACCACACAACTCTACTGCATTACTGCTTCAGGATTCTACAGGTTTTATGTGGGATTGGACAGACCACTCCATAACGCTAATCTGGCTGGTCTTAAAACTAAATTCTCTGCTCATTTTATTCTCCCATTCCAAGGGTAATTCTTCCTAGTAGAGTTCAACATGTCCTTTCAAATATTTTGATGTATTGATCCACAAACCCTTATATACGATAAATAGATCAAACAATCTTGGATCATGTCAGAAACATGTTTCTTTTAAAGCTTATTATTGGATTCTATGGCACATTAAAGACTCATTATAAAAACTATTTGTTTTCCAATAATTGGGGCTTCTTTCAATACTTCTGTTTTCACACTAAATGTTAAAACAGTCTTATGCCATCTGTAGACCTCCGATCCCTGTGGAGCCGAATGTTGGTTGGGTCATTGCCATTTAAGATATTCCTTTTTTTTTTTCTTCAAGTTTTTTTTTTTTTTTTTTGCAAAGCTGCTATTTTCTGCATTTCTTTACATTTTTCCCTTTTATAGATTTTATAGTTAATCCTTTTTTTTTTTTTTTATTAAAGCCCAGTGTTCTTCTGAATAGTCCCTGCAGACAGTTTTTAGAGAAGGGCCATCTCAACATTAATGTCGTCACTAATTAAAAAGTCTGAACTGCTTTTATTCTGAACTAACCTCAGAATCATATCAGGACCATTTGGCCTTTTTATTTTATTTTATTTTTTTTTATTCTACCAAACCAAACCATATATAAATCCACATCTTGTCTGATTTACCCAGAATAACACTGATGGCTCTATAAAAAAATAAATAAATAAAAACAGAAAAAAGTGATTGATGCTTGTTAAAATTCAAACTCAAAAACGTCACACATCATCAGTTACAAATAGTTCAGCTTTAATCATTTGATTAGTTACCAAACAAAAATATAACTTTTTAACTTTCTTCATAAATCATTCATCCGTAAACCTATCACAGCCGAAAACATGTTAGACAATATTGTAAAGAAGACTTTTTTTTTTTAAGTTAAGACTTAAAAAACTCTGAAAAAGTTTTTCTTTTCTTCTCACAAACAGCCCCTTGTAAACTTGTAGTGATAATCGTTCACATTTGACCTGTCACCATAAAGTCAGAGGTATCCAATGTTAGGGAATGTCATGTTGTGCTTCAAACCTGTAAGTGTTGTTGAAGAAGTGCATTTACTCTTTATTTCTCCTCAACCATCACAAAAAAAGCTATTATAATTTGATAAAGTTATTTATGCCCTTCAGATGCCTCAAAAGAAACATGCAACCCCCCCGCCCCCTTCCTTCAAGAGTTTTTTCCTTCATTTTTCACTTCTTTTTCTTTTGAAACTTGTGCAAATCTGTCAGTGGAATGGCAGGTCTTGTTATTTCCCCACTTCTTTTAGTGCTGATCATTAAGTACCACACCTGGGGTTTCTGATACCTGCACTACCAGATGGAGCTTCAGTCATCACTAGGCAGAAACCCAGGCTGCTGCTCCTCTGCCATTTGCTGGGATCCATCCTGAGAGGCCTCAGCCTGAGCCGTTATCTCCTTCTGAACCTTATCGAAACCACTTGTCGCTTCATCTAGCTGTGAATTAACTACTTGGACCCACTTCTGCAGCTGCATGCTTAGAGCATCCACACCTTGGTGAAGCTTCTCTTGCCTTCCTTGGAGCTCCTCTAACAGCTTCTGAGTGTCACCCATCATCTGCTGCCTCTTCGTTAACGCAGCAGGAGCACGCTGACCTTGCATGTAGCCTTCGAATTCCTCTGGACTGAGGTTAAGCGCCGGTCCATCCAGCTTCTCAATGAAGGCCACCGCACAGGACTAAAGAAGAAGACAAACATGGGTTATCTTCCCAACCTACGGTGTAAGGAGGATGAGCGCTTTCCTGCAAAACTCACCAAGTTTGTGAAATAGTATCCGCTCTCTCCAGCCATGAGGCTGTGGGGGAGGCCGAAACGAATCATATACTGCATGTTAGAGTGGAGACGAGGCGGATTGGCTTTCAGCGCCACATACACCAGGCTGGTCAGGAAGTCATCAGCGTTGGCAGGCTCATTGTTGGAAGTGGAGAGGGCTTCAAAGATGTGCTGGCTGCATTTGGAGACACAGGCAAGTTTGTCCTGCGGCGCTCGTTTGGCATCCATCTCTATTATAGCTATGTTTTAGACGAGATAACAACATCTCAGATAAACGTTTGTCAAATGAACCCCAATATTGTCAAGACATTTTAAAGTTTATCAATTTTACATTTTATTTTTTCTGTTGTTGCCTATAATAGTATTTATAAATACCTTAAGATTTAAACTAAAAAGCTAGCACCCATTAAAGCTATGGTTGGTAAATAAAAATGCCCTCCCCCGCTAATTTGAACGCGCATCTCCCAGCAGATTGTGGCAAAGCAGAGGGGGTCCCAACTCGGCATTTTCTTAAAATGTTTCTTCTTTTTTTTTTCTTTCAACTTTCTTACATTTTGGACTTCAACCTGTAAATAAACTGTATTATTGTAGCTTTCAAGGTAGCATGCTAAGTTTAGCAATACTAACCATACGAGTTTTGCAAAGGGGTGTTGAATAATGTGAATAATATGAATAACATGAATAATTTCCGCAATGGCCAAACCTGTGCACATGAAAGAGTTTTCATGTGCACAAAACAAAATGTTTCTAAAACAAAGATTTTTTAACAATTTCAACCCTCAAATCCAATACGGTCGCTGTACTTTTAAACTACGGTTATGGCTGCAGTAATAACCCGTTTATTCACACATCTGCCTGTTTGCATTTTAATGCCTCACATTAAAATCTGTGATCATGTTTCTTCACTGAATGCACAAAGAAATTTAAAAAATTTCATATTGCTTATGGCAATTCATCTGACCACTGGTGCAATACTGGAAAATCCTGCTGGTTTCTTAGATTTACATGTAGAATTTCAGTAAACAGGGTTCTGTGTCATTCCTAAATTCAAGCTGTAACCTTGTACGTTAATGGATTAAGGATTAATAGACAGCCCAATTTTTTATGTTTACAGGTTTTATTTTTTTACCTCCCATATTCTTTGAGAGGTTTCTGTATAAAGTTCTGATGCTTGTTTTAGTTGAGTAGCGCTAGATTACAGAGAATTTCCATTTATTTAGATTTTAAATTGTTACTAATATTTCCTCTGAGCATCATTTGTAACACAGATTGAGAACCGTCATATTAGACTAGTTTAATGCACTAGCATGTCATGAACTTTATTTAGCAGCCAAATTTTCTGGGATTTAAACAAAGATTGAGAGCTTTCTCATCCATGCAACTACAAGTCAATAAATTAGGTAAATCACCTGTTATGGCAGGAAGGAAAGGGTCGCCTGAGACAGGAGTGTTTTCATCTGGAAAAGGCACACTCAGCATCTGTGGAGTGACCCAATTTAAGGAGCTGAAAAGGAAAAGGATCATTGAGAAGCACAACTTGACATCCATTTTTTTTTTAATGGTTCCTACATTCCAAGTTTGCAACTTAACTTCATATCTACAAAAATAACATATGAATTAATGGTTAAATTTATAGAAGAGTCATTATCTGGCAATCACATAAACCTTGTTTTTTCAAACATAGTCAGACTGCAGAATCTTATGAATATTAAAAGACATTTTCTTTAAGCAACTG